ATCTGTATTTAAATGATTTTGTAGGAATATAATAAATACCATTTTTAAAAGTGCCCAAAAGAAGGAGCCACCGAGCTCTGAATACCCATCTATCTACAGAATATCAGAATTGATTATAGCCTCCGGTTGTCAGAAAATCGCAGTGAAGCAATATAAAACATGACTCTCTTGTTTTATGGTCTGGCATACAGAACAGCATGCATTCCATTAGGCATTTCTATAAACTGTAAGTCGATAAATAAATTGTATTAAGTGTGTTCTTGTTAGCCAGAGGTTCTTCAGCATTATTCAGTGAGTCACTGCTTCCTGATGTTAAACCTCAATGAAAATTTCACTGACAGAATGGAAACGGCCTCTGCAGTTTACTGTTTCATTAGTAAAGTCAGTGGAGGATGGAAGCACTCTGTGAACGGTATGAACATGCAGCCTTCTAGGAGCATGCACTTACAGAGGTCTGTCTGAGCGCAGAGGTTGCAAGAACTTTCATATGTTTTGTCTTGCAAGGAACCAGCTAAGTGCTGCAGCCTTCCTATTATAAAAGTCACTTTTCCAAGGAGCTACTTGACACAGTGCTGTTTTTGCCACCTGAGCAGACAAAAGTGAAAATGCTACTGGACTCTAGGGCAAGAGCCTGGGAGGTTCTGTAGCTCTAGTCCTTTGTTTCTCTCCTTCCCTAGCAGATAGTGCTTCTAAGGCCATTCAAACAGTTAAGCTCCTGCCACTCATTGTCTACCCAAAACAATGCTCTGCCACCTTCTGTTCTCACCTGGTAAACCCTTCAACCCTGGGCCTGTGGTGGGATTGATTTAAATGCTAAAGCAGTCAGGGCCCTTGGCACGCAGATTTTTGCCCCCACCCACAGCCATGTGCTACTATTATAAAAGTCACTTTTCCAAGGAGCTACTTGACACAGTGCTGTTTTTGCCACCTGAGCAGACAAAAGTGAAAATGCTACTGGACTCTAGGGCAAGAGCCCGGGAGGTTCTGTAGCTCTAGTCCTTTGTTTCTCTCCTTCCCTAGCAGATAGTGCTTCTAAGGCCATTCAAACAGTTAAGCTCCTGCCACTCATTGTCTACCCAAAACAATGCTCTGCCACCTTCTGTTCTCACCTGGTAAACCCTTCAACCCTGGGCCTGTGGTGGGATTGATTTAAATGCTAAAGCAGTCAGGGCCCTTGGCACGCAGATTTTTGCCCCCACCCACAGCCATGTGCTCTTGGGGGAAAGCCCCTTGACCTCTGTTGTGTGACCTTCTCTGGGGTGTCAGGGTGGGCCATAATGACAGCAACAGTCATACCTCCTTTGAGGAAGGTTCAATGGGAGGCCTCCTCTCTATTTCATTTTACTTCAAATACGCATTGTTTGTGAATCAAGATTTTCTTTAAGAATTTTGCAGACCCTCTTACGATAAGTTTTTTGTCACCATTCATCAAGAAGCACTGCATGGGTCTCGTGCTCAATAGTCAGTTTGTTAATTTCATCCTCCCCCCCCACCCACTCCAAGGGAAAAAATTGAAATATGTGGTGAAAAGAGGAATTTCACTGATACTTGTAGATTCTCAGAGGTTGGGGCCAGTGTGGTTCACCTGATCACACAGCACAGCTGGTCAGAGACAGCACAGATGAGAACTGCCTCGGTGCAAGTGCTGTGCCAGGCATGGTTGACACCCCCCCAACACATCCCCACGTCAACCCCCACTACCCCCAAAACCATTTGTGTCAGTTAATTTATTACCTGCATAAGGAAGAAGGCTGCTGTGCTGGGATGAGGGCCCCAAGTGCCCCACCGCTGGCCTGCTTCGCACTTTCTCTGAGCTTGTGATCTGAACAGAAAAAGGACAGCCCTGGGGGACATCTAACTCCCATTTTCCTCTTTGTTTCAAGAGCCACAGCACCATGCAGTTCCTTTCTTTGAGAAACATCTGCTGGGAGGAAGGGGGCAGCTTGTTTGTTAACATGGTAACAAACTAATTCCCTAAATACTATAATATATGGTGGGTTCCAGCACCATTTCTTGAAGAGATTGTTTTTGTTCCATTGCATCACCTTTGTCCCTCTGTCAAAGAAAAACTGACTATGTTTGTGTGGGTCTCTTTCTGAGCTCTGTTTGTCCCACTGATCGATATGTCCTTTGACCAACACCAGCCTATCTTGATTGCTGTAGCTTTTAGTAAGTCTTGAAGTCAGTTGTGTCAGTCTCCAAATTTGTTCTTCTCCTTTTGTTGGCTATTCTGCATCTTTTGCCTCTCCATGTAAGCTTTGGAATTAGTTTGTCGATATTCATCAAGTAACTCACTGGAATCTTGATTGAGATTGCACTAATCTATAGGTCAAGTTGGGAAGAACTGACATCTTGACAATACTGTCTTCTTATTTATGCTCATGGAATCTCTCTCCATTTTTTTAGTTTATCAATCTGTTGGGTGTTTGGGTATTTTTTTTTATTGACTTTTAAGTTGTTTCCTATAATAACAGCAGCTACCAGTTATCAAGTGCATGCTGAGTGCCAACCCTGAGCTAGCTTGCTACTTATATCATCTTACTTAATGCTCATGACAACCCTATGCAGTGGAAGATTATTCCCTCCATTTTGCAAATGAAGAATGTGAGGCTCAGGAGAGGTTAAGTCACTTCTCCCAGGTCACAAATAGAAGACATCTGAACTTGGGTCTCAGGAAGGGCAAAGCTGTTGACTGAACAATTACCCTGGGTTTGGGTGTTCCTGACACAATCCAGAGTTCTTCCAGCGAGCGGACTTTTCTTTCTGAGAGTGATCCTGCAGAGTTCCAGGTCAGTGGCAGGGTGCCCTCAGCTCTGAGCATTGCTTCCCCAGCCGTTTGTGAAGGTCTGACTCTAGGGCTGTGTCCATCCGTCGACATGTTTGTGCATCCTCAAAACCACACTCCAGGACTACGTGGTCTCTATGCATATATTTTAGGCTGATAACATCTTAGAGCCATCTCACTGTGCCCAGAGTGGACCCCACAGGTCCCTGGAGAAACGGGTTCCTGACACTTCCAAACAGCTATCAGAACCTCCTAGGAGAGGGCAGAGAGCCCCAGAAAGGATGCCCCTAGAGGGATAGCACGACTCCCCATTCTGCCCACCCAAGCTGGACTAACAGGCATGGAAGCTCCAAACCCCTTCGGAAGCCCGCACTGCAGCTGGTGTTCACCTAAACCAAAGGCTTAAACTGAAGCAACGTGACATCATAAATAACCAAGGACACCAAGGGCCTTTTTTCAGTGCCCCTGGCTTAACATAAAGATGAGAACCAAAGCAGATTGTTTTGAATGATTTAGGAGGGAGCCATACAACCTTTTAGTTAAGAGCAAGCGTGGCATTCATCGCCCTGTGAGCCTGAGTTAATCATCACTGTGGTGGCGTGGTCCCCCTGGGATGCTGTGGTAGTAAACACTGACCGTACCCCCCGATTCCTTGGGCTCTTGCACCAATTGTCCCCTGACTGTCAGCAGTAGGCTTAGTCTGACTCAGACATGAAGTGATAGGACTGCTGGGCTGGGGATGTCTAGAAGGTAGGGTTGGCATTTCTCACCCTCACTTTCTCCTAGTGTAACCTGACAATTTGTAAATTCTGAAGCTTCAACCTTTATAGGAATTTATAAGCATCCCAACACTTAAAGGGAATTTTGTTGTCTAAGCACTGTTACAAATGGTCTTACTTTCTTCACCTTTTATACCCTTCACTCTCCTGAATTTTGCCCCCACTGTGTGTACAGAACATCACAGTTCTGGGTATAAAGGTAAAGGTGAGAAGCTGTTTAGGCAGTACTTGTGAGAATAAGAGCTAGAGAAGAGGCGCCAATGGGAAAGCAGGTGTGTGCAGACAAAGCGAAGAACTTATCTCAGACTATGTCTAAACGATCAATGCTAAGTGAGGATTGTGTCAGCAGGGAATCTGGGCCAGTCCCCGAGCAAAAGAGTGGACCCCAGTTAAAAATACATGGGACCAGCAAATTAGACCTGAGGTCCCCTTTGAAAAAAGCAGGCTGGCACTTGTGAAAATAGCCACAATATTTGGTTTCCCCAGCTCCCTGGAGACCTGGCCTCAGAACAAATGGCAGACAACACATGTCACCATGGGACCAGAACAAACCAGCCTGCCATCACCTCATATGCCCCAGGGCCTCAGTTAGTCTCACGTCAAAACTTAAAGGTTAATTCAGTTAAAAGATTTCTCAAGTGAGGTTTTCAGGTGCAGATTCATGCACAGACATGCCAGCTGTCTCCATACTTCACAGACTACTAAATTCTGTGGTTCATGAGGATGCTCAAGATGAGGGTATGCAAGGCGTCATGGTATGCCTGGCAAGGAAGCACTGGTGCACATAGAAGGAGCCCCTCAGGCTCACCAGAATCGAGGCATCTCTGGTACTCTGCCCACGACATGCAGCCACTCAGCCTTGCTTCTGACAGCCGCGCTCCTAACTTGCACAGAGACCCTGTTAGGAGCAACACATGGGCCTGGAAGCTGTGGCTTGCAACAAGGGAGGTCAGGCTGAGAAAGCAGTAACACTCTACTGATTGCAAGCTCCCGATGGTGGGACTGTGTCTCATCATGAGTGATGGGTGAGGCAGGATGAGCACCCCACTCTCACACCTGCCAGTGCCCACCTGAAGACTGTGTTCAGGATGACTTAGGAGTGTGGAATGAATGCCTTCAAGCCTGCCCCTGGAGCCGGAACCCCTGGTTTCTGCTCTCTTTACTGTCAATTGCAGTGGGTGTACAATCAGCACCCTCTAAGTGCCCAGCACCACCCCACAAGCATCCTATCAAACACTGTCCACACACACCCCCAGGTTCTGCAGGTTTCTTGGGGTTCAGAAATGCCACCAATTAGCTAAGTTATTTTAGCAGTCTTTTTGTAAGTGATTTCGAGACAGAATTAGTTCCCCTGAAACAATCTAAATCCATTTAAAAAGTAATCCTTGTTTTCCTTTCTAAAAAAGAAGCTAAAAGTTGGGATTGTTTTCTTTTTTCCCAGGAAAACCTCTTTTTTGTGATGGAGTATCTCAATGGAGGAGACTTAATGTACCACATCCAGGCCTGCCACAAGTTTGATCTCTCCAGAGCAACGTAAGAGCCCATCAGGGGTTGGGGTTTTCCACTGTTCTCAGGGGCTGAGCATCCATGGTGCCCTGAATACTGTTCCCACACAGCATTTTCTTGTCTCCCTACACAGCATGCCTACGTCCCAGGGCACAGGAGCTCCTGGGGAAATAACAAGACAAAACCCTTTCCCCAGTTTGTAAAGCTTAAATTGGAGTGGATTTTGTTTTAATTTTTCTGTGTTTTAAAGTCAACTACTTAGTTTCTTAAGGAATCACCCCAAACTCATCAGGCTTCTAAATACTGTGAACACAGAAGCAAATATTTGCCCTTTGAAAAGCTGCAGTCAAACAGAACCCAGATCCTGAAGGTGGTCATGGGATGGAGTTCTGAAGGCCTTAGTGGGAAGCTCCGTGTAAAGGCACAGAGCACTAGGCTCCAGGGTGCTGGGGACTAGGAAACCAGAAGAGGCACATACTTCTGAGAATAATTTTCACCTTCATTGGCATCAAGCAAACCCAGTTGCAAACGAAATGGAGAGCAGGCTGCATTCACAGGTGGGACTGAGGTTGAATCCCACGGAGCCCCTCCTGCCGCTCCGCCTCTCATGGGCCCCATTTCCTGAGTGATAAAACCACTCTGACATCTAAAAAGACCGCTTTGCTACCAGGCCCACTTAAAGGTGTGGGTACACACTAGCTTTCTTTGATTCTCTACAAACTTCACTCACCCCCAGTGAACGGTTTGAGTGGCTTAGGTTGTGCTGGGTTGACAGATGGATTTGCCCACCAGCTCCTGCAGAAACCCTGGCTGTTCTGTCAAACCCAGTGGGTACCATGTCAATGATCTCGTTGCTTCTGGGAACCATTCACAAAGTGCACGGAGATAAATCTTACAGGATTTCTGCAGCAGGGAAGTCATTGGATATTTTTTGTGCTAGGCAGGATTCTCTCGTCCACCAGCCTCCCCAGCTCTGTCAGGTGTGCAAGCCCCAGACACCTGCTCTCCATGGTCCTCACTGCCCCCAGGAAGGAGGTGTCTGCAGGGAGTTCTCCCTTACCTCTCGCTGCTTTCCCACCAGTGGTGGTGGAAACTCGTCTCCTTTGAGGCGGCCCTCTTAGAGCTGGAGAGCCATGCCCCACCTCCCAAGTTCCAGCAGTCTTCCCTGCACCGCGCAGGCTGCATTTCTTACACTTGAATAAGCCAGGTCTCTTTGGACTAATACTGTGTTTGAAGGGCTCCAAACAGAGTTTAAAATAAAAATAAAAGTTATTTTCCTGTTTCCCTATACTATTATGTTTAATGTTTGTGTATATTCTATTAGCAAAAAAATGGCAGTTTGCACATTATGGTATACAAGTAAGAAGCACTTAGGCGCGGGCAGGACTGACTTCAGGCAGCAGTTGTGTGGAACGGATGGCATCTGCAGTTAGGATTAAACAAAAGTATGTGTGTGCACATGTAAGCGATGTGTGTTCACTGAGCAGAGCCCGGCATGGGGCACCCACTCTATAAGTGGGGACTGGATTTTGTTCCACTATCAAGTTCATGATGAACCTTATTTCCATCCTTCAGGTTTTATGCTGCTGAAATCATTCTTGGTCTGCAGTTCCTCCATTCCAAAGGAATTGTCTACAGGTAAATTCCACTCTCTGGAAACAAATACTGAGACTGCCAGATCTCCAGGTCGGTTACTTTAATCATTGAACTTCCATGACCTGAAATGGCCAGTGTGCCTTGGGGGCAGGAATTCCACACCCAGGCTTCCTGTCATGGTGAAAACACCAGTAATGATCTAATACCAATCACATGAGCAATGCTGGTCTCAAAAGCAATAGGGCCCAGTCTTGCGTATTTATTCCCACCCTGACGGTCATTCTCCTCCTATGTCCACTCTTCTCATTTCCTTCATTTCTCTGCTTTCTCTTTGGCATCTTGGCATTGCTTTCTCTCCTGTCTCCTTCATGTTTGCCTGTTTTTGCTTTGGGCACCTAGAAATGCTCTCCTTTTGAGTGGGAAGAGGGGAGCACCTCCTTGAACACAGACAGACCGTGGGAACGTGCCCTTGTCCCAGTGCATGGGACACACGCGTGCCCTTCTTCGGGTGTCTGTCCAAAATGTCTCTATTATACACCATCATTTCACATCCTCCTTGGATGAAAGCTATTGTGCATCAGTCTTCATAGCTTTCTCAAAACACATTATTTTTATCATACAAATCTTCAAAAACTTGTCTGGTTTCTGACTCACTGGGGGGAATGTAAAAATAAGAAAACCCAGAACTAGTTGGCAGGCTGGCTGAGCTCCAGGAGGCCAGCGCGGCGAGTGCAGCGTGTAAAGAGAAGATACGACATGACTCGTGGGCTCTGGACAGTGGGTTCCTGTGCCCTTCTGTGGCGAGTGTTCATGACAGTGACCCAGAGCCTTCAGTAAAGGTTAAATGATGTTCCCCACAGTGTGGAGGACAGCAAGTCCAGTCCAGAAGCGTCCATCAGAGATGGTTAGTACAGAGCTTGGGTATTTTTTGCATGTAGGCTGAGGTTCCCTTGGGGAGACCCCTCCATTCGCAGCAGGTGCAGCCAAGTAAGGGTTGGCCTATTGAATTACAGAACTAGAGACTTAGGAGAGGTTTTGGAAATCATTCCTCTTAAACACTCTCTTTGGTAACCTTCAGATATAGTTTGTTTGTTGGGGGAGTTTTTTTTTTTTTTTTGGTCAGTCTGCAAAGTAATAGATAAAAACTTGTTTTATACCATTCTTTAATCTTCAGAAAATTGAAAAATATCCACCAGAACACTGCAAACCCTGATCAAAATTCATGTTTCTTTTTTCTCTTTATGTTTGTAATGCCTGCAGTATGCCTAAAATATATTCCTACCAAGATATTCAGCAGATTGTGTGGGTGGATGGGTGGATGGGTGGATGGGAGGGAGGGAGGATGGATGGGAGGGAGGGTGAGTGGGTGGGGGAAAAAATTAGAATGACAGGAGAGAAAAAGAGATCTTAGCACTGAAAGGGACCTCGTGACACCATCCCCTGTGCCCAGTGCAGCCTATTTCTCCAGATCACAACTCCTTTCTATCAATATTACATCTTGTAAATTATCAACATTCAGAACAAAAAGACCAGAAGGGCCCCTAGCGTCTTCACTATCACAAAGTATACCCATTTTAGAGCTCATACTGTGTTCATATATGGGAACCCATGTTTTCTAATGCTCCTTATGCACAAATAAGAAAGAATAGTAGGTTTATTCAGTAGTGTACAGGTCCTAGGAGATACAGTGAGGTCCTAGGAGATCTTTGAAAGACAGCACGAAACTGAAGCTAAGGAGAGGTCATCAAGCAGGTATACCAACAGTGAGATTAGCCTGCCGTAAGAAATTGTTCAGCTGCCTATGTGTAACTTCCCTAAATTTTCATTTGGCAACTGAATTAACAAGGAGGTTCTTATATTAATTTCTTTCTTCTGACAACTTATGATTATGATTTCTGGGTTTATTCACAAAAGAGGTATGTCAGTTTTAAAAGGTTTGTCATGAGAAATTACCACAAACTTGATGGCTTAAACCAACAGAAATTTAATCCCCACCAGTTCTGGAGTCGAGAGGTTCAAAATCAAGGTCATGGCAGGGCCACCGCCCTCCTAAGGCTCTGCGGGAGAATCCTTCCTTGCGTCCGTCTTCACATGGCTTCTCTTCTCCCTGTGTCTCCTCTCTGCTCTCCCTTGTAAGGACACTTGACATTGGCTTTAGGGACCACCCAGATAATCCAAAATAACCTCATTTCAGAGATCCTTAATTATATCTGCAAAGACCCTTTCTCTAAGGAGTGTCCCTTTCATAAGGTTTCAGTAGGATATGATCTTTTGGGGGGCCACCTTCAACCCTCAAGAGCCAGTAATGTAGACCAAGTGCCCACGAGCAGTGCAGACAGGCGTCCCAGCCCCAGGACACCTAACAGAGCCACTTTCTGGGTTTTGGGTTTGGCTTGTTTAGTAGTAAAATATAAGTGCCCAAGAAGACACAGGCAGTACATTCTGAAGTCTGAGTAGGATTCTAATTAAAAGTAAGTGCTGAAGGGAAGGTCAATGAAGGTGTCATGGGAATTGGGGAGGGTGTGCCAGTGAGCACTTCCTGTGAGGAAGTGGGCTTTTTAAAAAGACTGAGGCTTTTCAGGTGGAAGAAGTACCTCCAGAAAAGGCACAGAAATCGCAGTGAGGAGTCAGGTGGGGGAGCAGGAAGCAAACGTGTCCAGCTGTACCAGAAAGGCTGTGGGGCATTCCAAAAACCAAGGCCGAGTGATGGAGGGAAGCAGATGCCCGCGTCATCATTCACCATCTGCTGGTGGAACTGCTGGTGCAGTGGCATCTTAAAAGATACATCGACCCTAGTTTCAGGTAAAAGTAAAAACATGGAGCTGGAAAATAAGCAGACATAGAAAGAAAAGAATCTAGAATCTTACAACAGAAAGTTCTGAATGAAAGGGATCTTAGAATAATTTATTGGTGACAACACTGGGGCCCTCCCACATATTTGATGCCACTTACAAATTCCCTCACGTGGTGATCTCATTCGATGCTCACCTGGGTCCTGGAGGGTAAGCAATGTGGGCGTGGTCATACCCATTTTACAGATGGGTCATCGGAGGCTGGAGGGGCGTGTCTTGGCTGAACTGCTTAGTGATAAAGCTGGGATGGGGAAGCCAGTTCTGACTCCTATTCTGCCTCTACCAAATGGGAAGGCTTTGCTTATGTTGACTACACAACTGAACAGAAGGCTTCCACTGAATTGTCTGTTACCTGATGCCCCGACATTCCCCATGGGCAGACAGGTGCTTCCAGAGCCATGTAAAAATAGCTGGTGCACCTGTGGACACTATGCCCTTGGGCTCCGTGGCCCTTCAGATGGTCTCCCTTGCCTCACTCCTCACCCTTTTGGAGGTCTGGCTCTGCATGGCCCGCTTCTGGGTTTTTCCCAGTCCAAATCAAATTGCTCAAGCATTAGTGACCTTTTCTCTCCCAATCCCTAACACATGTGGCCCACTTTAGAGGGTGAATTGAAAATTGGACATGAAACTTGTTTACCTAGCCCGAGGCTCAGAGAACGTTTATTTTTAGAATTGGTTAAAATACATCCTTGCAGTCAGAGAAGACAGTGGATGTCTTAGCAAGATCAATTCAGTGAGATAGATGGGTGAGCTTGGTTGAGGGGATGTAAAAGAGGAGAAAGTATGGCTTTGTATTCTAGCCCACTGACTTTGTGGGCTGGGATAATCACATAGCCCTCAAGAGCCTATGTTTTCAATCAGAAAAACAGAAATAAAAACAAATCCAGATCAAAGGACTGTGGTGGGAATCAAATGATGAAATGCACATAAAAGCAAATCCAGTGCAAATATTAGACACTATTTCATTACCTATGACCTATGAATAGCATGGCAGCTGGATATCTGGCTCCCTAGTGATGAGCCCAAAACCATCCTTCAGCCACATTTCATATAGGTGGCTCTAAAGGGTACAAGTGTGTTCCGGAGAACAAAAACCCTACATCATGTCAATATTGCATACATAGAGTGTGGATCAGGAAATGAACATACAATTGGAATTCCCGGACTGTAAATCCGTAAGTCACAATGACAGTGTATTTCATCAAAATAAAGGGATGGGAAGACAGAAGACCCATGTAAGGAAAAGGCTGAGACATATTGCAGGTCTTTGGTGCCGATCATGGAAGTGTGATGACTTTTGAGGACAGAGGAAGACTAACTGGATGGGAGAGAAACAGAGCCAAGGTCGGTGACATACACACACCTCCACTACAGATGCCCAGCCACCCGTAAGACAGAAGCTGAGATGCATTGTGAGGGAGAGATTACACTGGCCCAGATGGGGGGTGTCAACTCGGGGAGACATCTGCTAATAGTGTCACTCCACCAGACCAGAGCCACTTGCATTCTCACTCTCTAGTTTGCTCTCACAGAAGGTGGAGAAAGCAACGACAGGGAGCAGTTACTCAGGACTTAACTGCAACTGCTAATCACTGGTGAGATAGTCACTAGTTGGTGATGAATCCATTCGGCAAATACTGAACACCCAGCCCATGTTCTTGCAGACCAATCACAATCCAGCAGACAACAAGCAACATGTAGTTCCAACCCCCTTGATGCTCAGTTTAATAAGACAAAACAAACAGTGACGGGATCTTCAGGCTCACGCAATTATTGACGACAGTAACATATGACCCCCCAAGCTTTTGTTCAAGCACAATTTTGGCCTTGAGACACTGGAGCCACGGATGCAGACCCATGAGAACCACAGGAGCTTTTCTCATCTCAGTTTCTTTGCACTTATATGGCCTCCATCTCAGCTCTCAGCCTCGCCACTTCCTTTCTCTCCTTGCACAAACCACCTTCCGGTTTCTCCAAGGGCATGCTAGAGGACATGCCACCAGCAGTCCTAAGAGTTTCTCGGTTCAGGCAGATTAGCACTGCAACATGGCAACCCCAACACCGTTTTGAGAAAAACTGAATGATCCAGGCACATCAGACATCCACCTCTGGCCCAGGCAACTGAGGTGGAGGAAACAGGGCTGCTTGCCAGGCCCTTTGGGAGAAGAATCTTTGAGAAAGGAATTCTGAGCAGATGCTCTACAAGGAGGTACAGAGAAGGGTGAAAGCAATAGCTGGTCCTAGTCTCCCAAGTCCCCTTCCCACACAAGGCCGTGGTAGCCATGTCACCAACCACACGTCCTAAAGTAGATTTCAGAAAGTTCAGATATTCATGGGCAGAGAACATAAAGGAAAAGAAAGCTGGGTATTCTGTAACAACCTAGAATTCATAAAAGGCTGTTGTCTTAAGATCAATAAAAGTTTAAAGAAATTGATATCAAATGTAGCACCTGGATAATCTCTTAAAAATCAATTTTACAGGTGTAGAGTGGGAAGAAACTGGTGTGGCAATTTATGTAGGAAAAAAAAGCTGGAGGCCTTTGTTTACCGTGAGCTCCATGTTAACTGTTACTGGGAGAAGGCTGCTCAGCCTACGAGCACAGTGGCTCAGGCCGCAGTGGGAAGAGGCAGGAAGCTCGCAACGGAGGCCAGCAGGGCACCCGTAACCCGCACAGCAGGACCATCCGTCTGGGACACACTGGTGCCATTCTCAGGGCTGTATTTTTAAGAAGAACAGTGACAAATTCAATATATTTGAAGGGTAAGGGCCATATAGTCAAAGGGTCTGAAAACCACACTCTATGAGGAACAAAGCTCCTGACCTTGGGAAAAACGAGGAAACCTGGCATCACTGTGCAAATATCTGGGGTTTCATGTAATCACAGGAAGAGTTCGTGGACCCAGAGGTACATTTCAGGGAGGCACAGTTTGGCTCATTTGTGTTTTATAAGTTTTATCATCAGTTACATTTCCTTAAAAATGCAACAGGTGCCACAGAGATACTGGTTCTCTACAGAAAGAGGGATTTATTGACAGTGTCTCTGGCATCAGATGGACTCTGGTTCTAGAATTGTCCTTAACTAGGAGCAGCCTTCCTCAATTGGTCTTGGAATTAGGTGCATTGTAATTATCCACAAAGAAACAAACACCTGGTAAGTATAAAGCAAGTATATTTTTTAGGACTTTTTCTCTCACAATTAAGCCCAGGAAAGGTTCTGGGTAAAGACTTGTGTCTTGCCTGTGTTACTACACTGTGCTATGCTCCTGGGTAGACCAGAAAGCAAAATCAGCTGCCACAAGCCATTCCCTTGAGTTGGTTTTATCTGTACCTCCACCTTGTACACAAGTTGTATAGTATATGCACCCTCTGCCCAACACCTCACCAGCTCTGGGTCCCTTATGACGTTTCATCACCAGCCATTTGTTTATCCAGGCATTGCTTCTTGAAGGCCCCTTTTAAAATTAAAGGATGCCACAGCAGAGAAAATACCTCACCCATTTCACTGCCTGCTCAGCCATTCATACCAGCAACATGACTGTGTGACGAGATCACACCACATGCTGGACTCGGTGTGGAAGATACAGAACACCAGTCGGGCCCTGAGAAGACCCACCTGGGCCAGAAGGGCTGTGGATGACATTCTAGCATGAGCTGCTGGTCAGGGAGGACAGGCCGGGAGGAGCAGCCGGGAATCCAGGAGCAGGGCTGTGACCCGAGAACAGGGAGGAGGGATGCGGGGCCGACACAGCACCCACCATGCTCTTTTGGGGCCGCTGAGACAAGCGGCTGCTGCCTATGGCCACTCAGCTCTAACAGAAGTGGATAGATGTGTTCAGTGAGATTTTGCTTTGCTCTTGTTTTTCAGGGATCTGAAGCTAGATAATATCCTGTTAGACAAAGATGGACATATCAAAATAGCGGACTTTGGAATGTGCAAGGAGAACATGCTCGGAGACACCAAGACAAACACTTTCTGCGGGACCCCTGACTACATCGCCCCGGAGGTAGGAGGCGCGCCACCAGCAGCGAGGGGAAGCATTTTGGCTCAGGAGCTGTATTTGTATGAGTCTTTCCCAGATGCGCCGCTCTAGGGGCTGCTGTCATTCTCTGTGGGGTGGCGTCCATGCTGGCTAGGCCATCTCTCCAGTGTTGAATGACTCAGCTGTCCCTCCTGTCATGGTCCCTCTCCTACCCCCCTCCCCAGCCTGCAAACGTTTTCATTCTGCTCAGACCAACCGAGCAAATAACTGAGAAGGCCAGGTGGGTGGTGAACAGACTCATACGTATCCACCTGAGTAAGTCCACGGTTTCATTTTGGGGACCGGGAAAAAGCTTAATTGTGGTTTCCAGGTGGCCACTGTGTGAGCATGGAGAGACAACTAGTGTCTACTGACCTCCATGCCCTCTTCTGTACAATGAGGGGGACACTGTGTCGCATGCTACTGCAAGCATAAAATGAGAGAACCTATGAAAGGTTTTTTTAAAAGGCCCCACTCTCCCATTCTGAGACCCTAGAAAGACATTTGTTCAGAAGGCATCCGTCAGTCCACCTGCCAGCTCTGCCCTTGCTTGGAGTCTCCTGGATGTGCTCACCAGGCGAGCAGACCCTCCCATACCACGTGTTACCACTTGGTCCTTCCTGTCGCCCCAAACCTACCATTGCTTCCTTATCTCTGGAACTCCCTGCACTACTGGATGACTGCTCTAAAGTCCAGTGCTGTTTCTTACTCATTTTCTTAAAACTACTTTGAAATAATTATAGATTCACAGGAAGTCGCAAAACTAGTACAGAAAGGTCACCCATATATTCCCTCCTCCCAGTTTACCCCAGTGGTTACATCTTACATAACTGTGGTACAATACCAAAAGCAGGAAATTGGCAGTGGTACAAGGTGCATACAGGTCTACATTAGTGTGATCTTTATTCACTTTCATATCCAAGGACCAAGTTTGCAGGACTTGGCACAGTAAGTTGCTAATAAATAGCTTTTGGAAGAATGACCGTATTAATAAATGTGTGCATGGCGATTGATGGTGGATCGACAGTGATGGACCTCTGGTTTCCTGGGTAAGAAAAAATTAGCAGCATATCCTGATCATTGCTAAAGAAATTGTGGCACCCTTAGTCTAAGAAATACATGGCTTCATCCTGTGCTTATGTGGTTTAATTTTTATTTAACCTGTTTAAATGCAAGATTGACCTCTGGTCAACAAGAAACGGCAGCTTTTAAGTTTCCTGTCTGCAAATGCCTTATGCCACTTCTTTTCCTGGCAATCCTTCCATCCTGATTCCGTTTCCTTCTGCATCTTCCAGAATTTAACTTCAGCAACTAACCTCTCTCTCCGCAACTTGAGTCTCCTCCTTTCATCTTCAAGCATCCTGTCTTCACACAGTTCCATCCTTGGTCTTCTTGTCTTGCTGTATGTTCTCCAATAAGCAAAGGTCTTTATGACTAAGATTTTGCCTCCAAAGTCCCTATGACCAACCCAAACTACTACTTCTTGCTCCAGACCCATATGTCCATTTTCCTGCTGGATTCCTCCAACAAGCTGTCACAGGTCATCCAAACACAACAGGTCCCATATTCACTTTCTCTGTTGGACTTGCTCTGCACCCTCCCTGCCTCCGCTTTATCCCTTTGTTGGTGAATTACAAATCCATCCAACCAGAAAAGTAGCAATCCCAGTTTCCTCTCCTTTCTTACCCCTCCCAAATCCAAACACAAGACCTAAATTTAGACCTCAGGGACCTCTCATGTCCATTCTCCCTTCTCCCCAGTCTTGTGACTGAGTTAAGAATCTCCCTTGATTCCTTCTCAATCCCTAAAATGAGCCCCTCTGACTTACTCCCAATGCTTCTCCAATTCCTAGCCATCCTCGCCTTTGCCATCCTGCTCCAGGCCCTCAGCATCTCCTGTCTGGACCCTGGCAATACCCACTTCTGGTTCCCCTTCCATCACCATCCAACTGCCAGGGTGTCCCTCTACATATTTGCAAACTTTCTGATTATGCTACCTAATCAGTTAAAAAAGCATCCCAAGTATATTGCTTATGTATGGATCCCATACATTATCACCAATTAATATAATCTGTGTTATAAAACATGCATATAAAGGAATATAATCATGTTGAACTGAAGATGTGATAACTAAATTTTACTTATTAACAGAATGAACATGTATGCTTCATTAAAATAATGAGACTAAATAACTTTTTTAAATCTTGGTTTAACACTTTATGATTCTGGGATTCAAAGGTTTGACGAGTTTCTTTCAGTTCTTGGTTTTATTGGCTGCTGTAGCTGGGAAGAGCTCCAGAGGCGCGGGTGTAGACTTCCCAATATGTACGTAAGGCAAGGTTCATCACTGACACAAGTGGTTATAGGTCCTTAATTCAAAACTACATTTTTGATACATCCGATATTTTTAGCCAACTTGCCATAATTAATGAGATCATCGTCTTTAGCCCCATTATAATATAGCTGATACAGTGCTTGTCCCAGGAGTAAGAGACTTGTTACTCTTTTCTTATGCTCTCTGTATGTTGGCATTGTTTGCATTATCTTCAAGCCTCAGTGCATTCTTTAAGAACTTGCCATTTTGTGAGACTGAGTATAAACAGAACCCACCAGTCAACTTAGTCAGGCATGCCACATATAGGATGCACCTTAGGGTAACCATAGTAACACCAGTAACACACCTCACTGGGAGCGCCATCACCATGCCTCTGAGCTGAGGCTTCCCGTTCTTCCCTCGGGACACCTGGCTAGATAGCTAAATGAGAGTACCAGTGTCATTCTTGGATTTTTTTTTAATTTAGCATAAATACAAGTTCTAGTATTTTGTTCTCTCTCATTGCACCCACTGGCTAACCTCTGGGGTACGTGCTGTGTTCTGAAGTCCCCTGCTCCTCCAGTCCACCAGATCTCCCTGTCTAGGGGCAATTTGTCTCTCCACTGCTTGAACTCTTCAAGAAGTCCCCATTATCATCTAGGTACAAGCCAAAATTCTGCATGTAGGGTCTTAATATGTCCCTGCCCTTCCATTTTCCATAGTAAATTAGAACACTTCCAAAATGCGCATCAGCGTTAGACCTTAATGGACTAGATCCACAAGGCAGATGGACTACAGACCTCTCCACTAAGACAGAAAGAGGGTCTCTGACAGAGTGGTAACATCCTTCTTCTCTGAATTACTTGAGTAAAGACAGGGGAGAGAACAGGACAAAAGCAACGAGGCGTACAAGGCAGCTGGGCTGCAAGGAAAGGGGTCACCCAGCCAGGGTTTCTGCACTGCACTTTATAAATATAGACTAATGTGAGAATGACCGTGTTAAGTTTAAATCCAGAAGACAACATAAAATGAAAGGAACATCATGTAGTAAAATCTCCAAAGACCAGCATTCAGAACATAGCTTTCCAGTAACTAAGAGACCACAAATAAGACACCAAGCCTCTCTAAGTGCAGTCACCACCCTTTGTTAAGTAGGGACAACAGTGCCTACCTCGGGGCTCTTAAAATAAAGCCCAGAGTGTATGGAAAATGCCGAATGCACACCAGCACAACACTGTTCTCACAGTGCACAAATGAGTGTGAATGTGCATTTCTGCTTCTTCCTCCTACGAGAGAAATTCTTTATTAACTATTAAGCACCTGGCCATAGAAGACTTAATTTCCACCACAGCTGTCTCCTGTCCTTCAGATTCATCTGTCCTGACCAATGGGGTTTCCAGAGATGTGAGGCTCACAGCAATTCCTGGGTGCTTCGGGCTCCCCCTGGTGGCCCATCTGGCAATAGTGTGTGGGCCCGGCCCCACTCAATAGTTACCTGAACCAAAATTGCACGTGTGTGTGCACATCATATTTTTCTTATCATTCTCCCTGGTCTACTTTTAAACACTGCCTTAAAGAATAATCTCTTTATTCTAAACTTTTAAGTGAACTTAGTATCTAAACATTGAGTTTAAAGCTAATAGGGGGCATTTTTATACTGGAAGTTGGCAGCAGATTGCAAAATTCTGTTTGCAACTTGATCTTTGTCACAAATGGGCACCAGTTCATCAAGATAGGTATTGATCAGGGAGCTTATGGTCATGTCCATATGACAAAGCACTTGTCTTTCCCTGCCATTTGCTGTATCCTCACAGCAGCCCAGTAAAAAGCTGGCCAGATCTTAGCACCACTTTTCACAGTTGAGGCACAGACGGGCTTAAGGAGTCTCCCCAAAACTAAACAGCAAGGGACTGAGCCGCAAGCAGACCCTGCCATGTTCTGCATGCTGTCAGCATTGTTGTTTACAAAACTTCTACTAGAGACACTTCCAGTGTCCTCAGCCATATTCTTAGCTTCTCTCTTCCCAAGGACAGGCCTATGGTCAGAAACAGTGGCTGTGCACAGTTCTACTGCATTGAAAAGCTGACCAGCATCAAGACACAAAGCTGGGAAATACTAGAACACCTAGAATTGTAGTATTATGTGTCCCTCCTAAGGCCACAACACTACAATTCTACTGTTCATTCCGAAGGCCCTTTAAGAAGGAAAATTCCATTTCAAATGAGGAACACAAATACTAAAATGACGTTGTCTCTGTGTGTGTGTGTGTGTGTGTGTGCGTTCGTGTGTGTGTGCACTCACACGAGTGCACTGTGCTCAGCCTTAAGTTGCAGGGTGGCCATCCCAAGAGATGGCTTCAATACTATTTAAATTTAGTGCTTTTTAAAATTAAATGTAGTGCTTCAATACTATTATGTATTCTGCATTTGATGTGGGGCAGGTAGCAGCTTGCCCCTGGCCCATCCTGGGAGCAGCAGTCATGAAAGATAAGGATTTTCTCTTCTTCTCCACTTAAGTTTTGCTTCTACTATGCACTGGTCTTAGTTATGGTCCAATATATATACATACCATAAAATATGCCATCTTCACCATTTTTAAGAGTACAGTTTAGTAGTGTTAATTATATTCATTCACATCAGCAGGCACCCCACCTCCGGGACGCTTTCCTTTTGCATAAGTGAGACTCCATACCTGTTGAACAATCCCCAGCCCCTGGCAACCATGACTGCACTTTCTGTGTCTATGAATTTGACTATTCTAGGGACCCCAGCTAAGTGACTCAAACAGTGTTGGTCTTTTTGTGTCTGGCCCATTTCACTGAGCACAGTGTCCTCAAGGCTCATCCATGTTATATCATGCATTATCCTACCTTTTTAAGGCTAATATTCTACTCAATGTATAGATCTCATTTTGTGTGTCCATTCATTTGTTTTTGATGGACCCTGTCTTAGGGGATGCATCATGATTTGTTGGGACGATAACACTGAGCAGAGTGACATGCATGCTGACATCCAGCATTAAACAAGGAAGTTGCTGAAAGGCCGGAATAAAAAGCCTTTTTGCCCAAAGAGTAGACTAGTGAAAGGGTAGAAATCTTTTAAAAAGTTAAGCAGGATTCCAGACATTAAATCCACTTCCCTAACAGATAGACCAGACCAGTTTGACCCAAAATACTGCTGTCAAGTTGTACATAACACTTAGAGATGTGATGTCTGGATCTGACCAGTTTGTTATCCTAGTCCTAGTATATATAGCCTTTGCAGACAGATATATTTACTATAATATATGTTCTCAGTGTAGTCACAAAATTTGACCATTCATAGTGGTGACCACAAACGTGACTCAGTTGCACAGTATCAGTTAGGCTTTAAGCAGGGGATGTGGTCAGAATCTCTTTGGATGCTTAATTACCTAGAGAAACTTTTTGCAAAGGCTCAGGACAGTAGAAGGAAGTAAAACGGAGGTTTGTTTTGGATATTCACCTCAGAAGCACAGGCGAGCTTAGATCCCACCAGCTTTCTCAGGCCCAAATCTGCTACCCAATCCTCCCATCACAGATAGAAAACAAAGGCTAGCAGCAAAGTTCAATTGTTTTGCTTATGGCCTGGGACAAACTAGAAGTTGAAACTCAAAAATATTTGTTCAGTTCTGGCATTGCCCACTCATTTGTATCTAATCATTAGTCTCTTGAAAGGTACAGTTTTCAGTGTGATCTTTGTTAACACCGCAGACCATCGTCACCACCCGTTAGTGCCGAGTGGCCCTGAGAGGTCTGGGCAAGGCTCGCGTGTCCTGGTCAATAATCACGTCTCTGCCTTGTGGTCACACAGATCTTGCTGGGTCAGAAATACAACCACTCTGTTGACTGGTGGTCCTTCGGCGTCCTCCTCTACGAAATGCTAATAGGTCAGTCGCCATTCCATGGGCAAGATGAGGAAGAGCTCTTCCACTCCATACGCATGGACAACCCCTTTTATCCACGATGGCTTGAAAAGGAGGCTAAAGACCTTTTAGTGAAGGTAAGAAAAATTCATGGAGACTTCATAAGATCAGGTTTTCTGGTCAGTGTCCACCTCACTTGTAGGTTTTGATGTACACATGACAGAGTAAACAGTAACTCTATGGGACTGGACTTAAACATGATGCTCACCATCTCTGTTTTCACTGAAGAGCCAATATGATGAATGTTAGACATCAAATGAATATAAGATAAACCCTCATGCATGATTTAGAGAACAAACACCCAGGAACCAGACCATGACTCAAATGCCCCCCCTTTGCCATGTACTTGGTCCACTGAACAAGCACAACGGGTGGCTTAATACTAACTGTTTTGTTTCCATGACCCTTTTAAATATGTTTAGTCCAGTTCATCTTTCCCTGCCCCTGGCTGAAACTTGGACAGGATGCATGACTTTTCTGTTCACTCATAGGTAAAAGACAAACCTCCTGTCAGTCGTAAGTCGTAAAACACCATCTCTACTAAGAAATTAAAACTCTTCAGTCCAAGATAAAGTCACCACATCAATCTTAACTCTTCTGAATCAAAGACTGCTACTCCCTCTGCTCTGGTCAGTTTCATGGCTGTCAGGCACATACCTTTGCAGAAGGGAGTGTGGCCACATTGTGGTCAACCGTGTCCTTGCCCTCTCCCATTCCAACTCTTGGATTTCTGTTTCATGCCATACCAGGTGAAAAGCAGGGAGAGGGACAGAAGGACAATAAGAAGAAAGAACTGTTCTTTTACGGGGCTTTCTGCTCTTTGAATCTGGTGGGTTGTCAAAGCCAAGACTTCTGTGAGGCATTCTGGTAGGCATTTTGGAAATACCTGTCACTGGGGACATTCTGTTCTGAAGCCCTTGGGATACAGGCTGTTACCCATCCCCTAGCCCAGCTACAGTACCAAGCTCCAGTCCGGCAATGCTCCATCATGTCGACATTCTCTGCTCACTGCTGCTGAGCAGAGTCCCTTGGCAGACCAGCCCTCCTGCCACACCCCTACCTGTGTCCACTGGACATACAGCAGCATTTTTCACCCTAAAACTCTTGAGTATGCAAGCTGTTACTATCTTAGCAGTAACCTCCAGAATTCACCATCAGAGCAACAGTCAGACCCCCATCCAGGTATACGGTGGTATAGACGTAAACGGGGCTCTGAGACTCACTAGCCAGGAGCCAGGAGCTCCCGGGGCAAACCAACGCAGGATACAGGCAATGCTAAGAGCCATCATTAAGGATTTGGACTTCATAAGAGCCCTTCATTACCTTTTTTGACAATGCAAAATACCATCTGCAGTGTATGACTGCAACAAGTTGTAAAAAATGAAAATAAACCATGGAAATACCAAATGAAATTATAAATAATAATAATCCCCACCTACGTTTACTGAGTACTGGTAACTGTTTGGGTCAGAGAGATCTGCCAGTGTGACCGAGAGGCTAACGCATCCAACAGAAGCTGACCGACCAACAATACAGGTCTCTGCATTTCTGGCATCTCATACCTCAGCTGCCTAAAAATCAAAACATTTAGGAAGATCATTTTCTAGCCTTGCTTTTCCTATATTGAAGTGGGGAATAGGGAAAGTCAACATTAGAAGCTATCAGTGGATTTTAAGTCTAAACAGAAAAAGATGACCAGGCCCATCTTTTTCCTCTAGTATACGTTTTTCTCATGCAGAACTTCTTCGATTTAAATTTAAAGGGCATAGGATTGTACTTTTCTAAAACAACTGACAACTGATCTGGGATATTTGAATGTGAGGTCAATTCCAGAAGCCCTCCTCCCCCAAGGAATCCAGACGCTGTTGCAGGCGAACGCTGACAGAGCCTTAGCATAGCATCTCCCAAGGCGGATGGTAAAGATCTGAGCCAGGGAAATAAACTTAGTAAATTCCCCAAATGACCAATTAATTCACTCCTTAATGACAACAAAACACATACCAAATGAAAACTCATTTTAAAATTAACCAATTAAAACAAAAAGACAACAGTAGAACAACTTAGCAGGATTGGAAATTAAAGGGTTAGCTTTACCTAAAAGGCAAGTTCAGACATTACAGTGGCTACTCCCCTGCTTGGCTCTCTGAAGGACTTGACCTGAGACGGATTCATTGGCTCTGGCTGGTGTAACAAAGTGCCACAGATGGGGAGGCTTAAACAACAGAAATTTAGTTACTTACAGTTCTGGAGGCCCAAGACCCGGCAGGGATGGTGTCAGGCGAAAGCTGTCTTCCTAACTTGCCAACAGCCTCCTTCCTGCTGCGCTCTGCCTGGTGGAGAGCTCCCCACCATCTCCCCTCAGAAGAACACTAATGCTTTCTGATCAGGCCCCACCCACACGACCTCACTTAACCCTGCTTACTTACCCCAAGTACACCCACCTGGGCGAGTATGGCTTCAACACATGGATTTGCAGAGGATAATACAATCCATAGCATGGGGGCTGTGCCAGATTTGGGCCAAGGTTTGGGCCAGCAACCCCACCAGAGGAAGGAAATAAGGGAAAAGTCTGAGCCCTGGAGGTACATTTGGAATCCAGCTTCACCTGGTGAAGCTGCATAAAGCCTAACAGCTCTGCTTCCCAAACCCGCCCCAGCTCAGGATCTGGGAGAAACCTCACAGGGCACGAGGAATTGGGGCCAGGTGTAATCTGCTCAACAATAAAAACTACTACTGCCATACCAAACAACCTGGATAGAAAACATCCCAGGCATGTGCTGAGGGAAAACCCAAATTTCGTAAGGCCACATATAGTGTTGTGAGCCCACTTATGGAATATTCTAGAAAGGACAAAATTGTAGAGATGGAAACCAGACTAGTGGGTGCTGGCAGTTAGGAGTCCAGGGAGGGACTGAGGTGGGCTCCATGTCCAGGGAGGTCTTTGGTGATACAGCCTGCATCCTGTTTGTCACAGTGATTACCAAATCTCACAAGATAACAGAACTAGACACACCAAGCTAATGCCAGTTTCCTGGCCCTGATCTTGACTATAATGTAATGTGTAAGCATTAGTGGAAATTGGGTGAAGGATGCACAGGACATCTCTGAACTATCTTTTAAAATCCTGTGAATCCGTATGTATGGACTGAACATGTCCGCCAAAATTCATATATTGAAGCCCTAACCTCCAGTGTGGTAATTACAGGAGGTGAGGCTCTTGGGAGGTACTGAGAGATAGATGAGGTCATGATTGTGGGGCCTTATGATGGGACCAGTGTCCATATAAAAAGAGGCCCTCCCTCCAGGTTCAGACACAGGGAAGGCCTGTGAGCACCGAGCAGGAGCTGGCTGGCTGCAAGCCGCGGGGAGAACTCTCACCAGAAACCTACCACACTGGCACCTTGATCTTGGACTTCCAACCTCGAGAACTGTGAGAAATAGGTATCTGCTGTTTAAGCCCCCCAGCCTATGACATTTTGTTACAGCAGCCCAAGCAGACTAAGATACTGTAATTATTTCAAAATAAAAAGTTTAAAAACAAAGTAAAATCAAAGTCTTCATGCCAGGAAATTTTTTTAAAAAATCATCTGCAGAGTTTCAGCAGCAGGGAAAAGATATGCTGTAGAGGAGAAAATTAATTTGGTTACACAGAACAGAAACCAAGACTTAGAGGGGTAGGTAAGGACTAGTGGGCGAAAGAAGTTTTAAATCCATGTGGAGGAGTTTGGCTCACTCTTCCCCCCATCTGTGAGTGAGTACAAATTCCATGTCCTTGCTCCGGGGGGACGATCATTTTCCCCCACGTTCTAGCAGGTGGGCTGATAAAAATTAGGTTCCATTATGAAGTTTGCTGACTGTAAGACTGGCTTCTACTTTCATCTCTGCCCCTCATTTGCTCTGTAACCTTGATCCAACAGCCACTACATTCTTGAGCTCTGTTTTATGAAAAAATCAAATTGAATATCATTTCTGCTCAGGAATTATGCATTATGTTGTGAAGCCCAAAAGTAAAGGGTCCTGTGGAAAAGCTGAACAAAGCAGCATTTTGTGGCATGTGTTAGAGCAGTGGTTTCTGCACTGTATGCCCTGTAGCCCTCCTAGGGCATGGATGTACGTAGTGCACTGAACAACTGCACATGAGGAAAGGCTGCACTCTGTCAAGAAGCTGAGTGGGGTGCTGCTGTCCAAAAACACTATTGCCAAAGAACCGCCCCATTCTTTCTCATTTATTCATCCAGGACATCCTGTCCATTTGTTTGGAAAATGATGGAAAACTAATGATCTCAAACAGAAATACCTCTCCCTTTTGTAAAAAGATGTCTCTTAGAAGGAATGAAGAGGGAGAGAAGATTCCAGTGACAGGTGCTAAGCACTGGGGACCAGCCTTGCCAGCCCAGCACTGCTTTCTTGGCCAAAAGTCAAATGTATTTAAACAACTCCAGCTGCATCCTGGCCATTTATGTAAAAGGTGTGCTATTTCCCGCAAACGTAAACCATCCTTCTGATAGCTTTTATGAACAAAAGCAAGTCTTTCTTCATGAATATTTATTCCTTTGGTGCAGCTTCCTTGCTGCAGAGCCAATGACCTCCCATAAGTTCACCAGTCACCTTCAGGATGGGAGAGTGTTGGGGGTGATCTGGTGGGGGGCAGAGAGGGTAATAATTTACATTTCTGTGCAAAACCATAAAAAACTATGATTAGCAACACTTGAGGTCACATTATATGTTCATTATATGTTTTATCTTTTAAAATATTTCTTAAAGTCCACAGGTACATATACTAACCTCAGATCCATTGTCACAATCTTCTTGGTACAAATGCCACATGTTACTGGAAAAATCTGATGGAAAACCCTAGTGTGGTGCATACTTGTTCTAAGGCAGTTACGTCTAGCTTAATTCACTGAAGCATTTAAAACATGAGCCAGTTTTTGGCCTGTTTTTAAGGCATTTAACCCCTTTCACCCTGTATCATCAAAATGTCCTTAAGAAGTGGAGGTTAGTGATTTATTATGATCATTGCAAGGGAAGAGATGGAGGCAACTACTTATTTCCCCTGCTTCTAAAAAGTCGATCTGCTTTTCCATCTGTTGACTCATACTGGTGTTTGAGTCTACAGAAGAACATGTCTTACTGTGAACTTGGAGCATTTTCTATATACTGTGCTTTTTGCTAAAAGCAAAAGGCTAATAGAAGATGAAGACTAAAGGTACGCTTCCACAAATAAAGAAAGTAGAAAGACAGCCTGCTCCTTGTTCAGCAAATGTTTATAAGCATCTTTTGTGCATGGTGCTGTGCTAGATTCTGTAAGAAATAAAAACATAAATGGTGTCTGTCTCCAGAGTTTATACTCTATTAGGAAAGATAGTTTTAAAAATGTATACACAGTGTGCCAACTTCCCTACTGGCGAGATGTTTTATGGAGCACAAAGAGAGACTTGCCGATAGAAGCAGGAAGGGGCAGCTCATAATTCAGGCTCTCCCACTGGCTGGACTTGTGATCTTGAGCAGGTTACTTACTTACTCAGAGCCTCGGTTTCTTTTACTGACGATTGGGATAACAGTATCTGCTTCTAGCATCTATTTTAACACCAAGATGATGTAGCTGAGGCATCTAGCACAATGTCTGACTCCCAACGAACACTGGTTGCAATGATGTAATCAGACACATGACAGTGAACATGGCTTGAGCAGAAGGGAGAGCTCGCCATGAGTTGAAGTAATCAGAGACCTTCATGAAGAAGAGGGGTCTAAGCTGAACCCTGAAAGATGGGCCAAGATTAAAGATGAGGAGAAAGAAATGGGGTGGATATGGGAGAGGTCTCTCCTTGCAAGATGGAAATGTCACAGCAAAGGACAGAGGGAGGAACAGCAGGTGGTACATCCAATGAGTGGACACGTCTGGACAGAAGAGAGGGCTCTAGTGGGATTAGGAGGCAGTGTGTCCATTAGGCTGCAGAGAGCCTGGAATGCCCGCCTCAGGCTCAGAGATCACCTTGCCTCACCCTGCATTTTACAGGCAGGAAACTGAGCCTCAGGACACTTACCCAAGACCACATGGCTAGTGAGTCTCTTGGATGACAGTCTCATGTTATTTCCTCTGTGCAGTGGCTTTCTAATGGGGTGCATTGGAAATCCAGGTCCCCACAATATGCGAAGCAGGAGAGGAAGTTAGGACATGCCAGTGACTTGACTGCATGAGTGTTTCACTTGGACTTTTGAAAAGATTCTCCTACTTTGAAAAAGGACAAGACTTCCACTTTGCTGCAGCATGTTGGTTTTTGTTTGGGGTTTGTTTTTTGGGGGTTTTTTTTGTTGTTGTTGAGTTGAGCCTTTGAAAATTTTCCAATGGTAAGGGGATATAAGTAAAGAAGCATTTTAAAACACATAGTCTGGCTACCTTATAAGAGGTAAAAGCAAGAGACCCTCCATTTAGGCATGACTGAGGTCAGTTCCTGCCAGAACTTCAGGAAAGTCACTGCATTCACCCTGGTTCTGTTACAACCTCCTCACAATACCTCCAACTGGCAGTTGCTTTCTAAACAAACACCTAGCTGATGTAAAAGGGGTAATTTCTGCAGGTACTCAGGGAGCCCAGGACTTCTCTAGGTTTTTGGACTCTCCTGTTCCTCAGTGCCCTTGACACCCACTGTTCATGTGTAGAGTTTCCAAGTTTCTTGCCCATCCTGGCCAGTGTTCATTTTAACCACAGGAGAGAGGACAGTGCAAAGAGGAAAATATATATGTAACAGATCAGAGATGACTGCAGGTGAGTTGCATTAAGTATTTCTTGTCCAACAGGTTAGCAGGAGTCCAAAGTGGTTCTCGACACTCAGATGCCTTCTCCAGAGCTGCAATCTGGGACTAGCTTATGTTAACCTGAAGTGAGCATTGCCTTAGAGACAGACTGTAATCCTAAGAAGGCAGCTTTGTAAGAAATCAAACTCGATTACGGGGCAGTCAACCAAATAACAACAAATAAATGCATCGCTTTATGTTGCAGGGTTTTACAGACCAGGGATCAGTGCATGAGTGCATGTGTGTCATTACTTCCTTGAACCCATGGAACAGCCCAGGGAAGAAGACACCTCACTGGTCTTACGGGAGTCTGTAACTTGCCAGAGGTCCCATTAATAACAGAGGGTGAGGCTGCTCTCAAACCAGACCCTGAAATACTCAGAAGACTTGTCAAGGGAGAGTGTTGCCCCCAGTTTGACTTGAGTCGACAGTTTATAAAGAATTAAAATAAGGTTAGAAAGGCAAGTGGCAAGAAACCGGCCTGCCTTTGTCTGTGTGGAGACAGATTCACGTGGCTCCTAGCCTGAGACATGCAGCCTCCAGCTGAGCCTGCCTGCAGAATAACTGCCCTCTCCCTGCTCCCTTCCAGCTCTTCGTGAGAGAACCGGAGAAGAGGCTGGGCGTGAGGGGAGACATCCGCCAGCACCCTTTGTTTCAGGAGATCAACTGGGAAGAGCTGGAAAGGAGGGAGATTGAGCCGCCCTTCCGGCCCAAAGTGGTGAGGACCCGGCCATGCTCCCCAGCTGCCTGCCTGTCCCAGTAACTCCATCCCAACCGCCTGCCTGTGCACGGTTCTTGGCTGGTGGCGGGCCGGAGCTGACATTACTCTTGCTTGCAAAACGTAACCTCTGTGGTCAAAGGGCACTGACATTAAGGGTACCCAGGCCCTTGGCTGCAGGACTTGGGGGGCGATTCAGATGGGATGCACACACTTCATGGGCACAGCCTCAGGCCCCAGACATGTCCCTGAGCCCTGTATCCTATGGCAAGAACTGGGGCCCAACACATACCCTTAATGCCACTGACATATACCCCTAAAGGTGGCTAAAACAGTCACTTGGGTATTTTACTTCAATTTTAAAAATAATTTTTTTAAAGAGTAAAGCAAAGTGGTGGATTTGCCAATTTGCCAGGTTTACCCTTTCCTGGTGATTGTGGGGAACAGGCAGTAATCACCCAGGTAGATGTGAACCATGTCACCATCCCTTTGCATGGAGATGGCACAGGCTTGTAGATCTCACAGCAGAGCAGTCACTCTAGAAAACAGCTACAGTTATTGGTCATGATAGCGGATGGCCAGAAGCAGGTGTGCCCCCGGGGTTAGAAGAGCTATTCTTAAAGTGTCCCAATTCGGGGCATGTTCCAAGAGTCCTACAGGCGGGCTTCTAGCACTGATGTTAGTAATGATGCCATATCTAATACATGGGTTAATAATTTGTGATAAAATGAATTTTTACCTTGTTTTGGCTCACCTAAACATTGTAATTTATGTCTCAACTTCCACGGTAAATTAAAATTGACTTGATGTTTTCCATATAAAGATCAGACCTTTGATCTACAATTTTCCTTCAGGACAATTCCCAATTCTGCCAGTAGGAAGGAATTTCCCTGATCTATTATCTAAACCGCTCTTTGTAGGCAGAGGCCACAGGCCATTGGCCTCACCATCCCAGGGGCCCCCTTAAGGATGGGAAGGGCCAAATCCTAGTTACACTCATATATATATATACATACATATATGAGACTTTTGATAATCTTGGCTGAATTTATGCCATGCGAGGCCATGTTTGTTTTTATGTTCTCTGTTTTCCATGGGCACCAGTAGACCACGTAGCTTGAAGGGAGCTTGTCCCAATCTGTGCTGTCTATGAAGACAGTCTGAGACATTTAATAATTAAATTAATGTGGGTGGGCAAACCAACAGTAGCGAAGGATGTTGATAAAAGAAGAGGAATATGTAATCTCCAGGATTCCTTCCCTCTGCTCCTACCCTCCCCGCCACCACTGTCCCCTGTAGACTGAAAGGACAGAGGTCAAATTTGGGCCCCCCACATTTTCAAAGCCTGCCAGCCCTGCCCCATGTATAAACTGTCCAATACAAACATAAGATCCTGTTTGAATTATACAATGAGATTCCTTATATGGATTGTAATTATACTTTTGATAAAGTGATGGCTTGGATTTCTAGGCATGGTCCGTAAGAGCCACACATGATCCTCTGTAAGTATCCCTTCAGTGCGGTTTATCTGCAAAAGCCAACATCTGATATAGATGATAGCCTACAAGTAAAGTGAACATTATTAATTCTGTGACTGATTTTTCTTCCCTTTTTTCCCCCTTAACCTCTGGTCAAGAAATCACCGTATGACTGCAGCAATTTTGACAAAGAATTCTTAAATGAGAAACCCCGGCTGTCACTGGCTGACAGAGCACTGATCAACAGTATGGACCAGAATATGTTCAAAAACTTTTCCTTCATTAACCCAGGGATGGAGAGGCTCATATCCTGATTCATCTCCCCACACACACAAAGGAATTGGCCTTCTGTGAACCGGTTCAAGCGACACTGCGTGGGTTCCTTTCCAATGTGGAAAAGAAAAGAAACACTCAACGTTAAAGGCTGAAGCCTGTTAGCTCCTCACTGACCTTGTAGCAGAAACCAAGTCTACTTCACTAACGACAGCCCCTGTGGATCTCTCTCGTCATCTCCCACAGCTGCTGGGAGTTTGGTCAATAGTAACCAGAGTTATTACTTGAAAGATGAGTCTCACACTGTGAAAGATTTGAGAACTTAGAAGCACCCTAAATGCTGGCCCTTCCCTTGGGCGCCAACTGCTGATTGATGACATACTAGATGACTCAAGGAGCAGAGAACAAACTTCTCAAGACTGAAACAGCACCTGCCTGGTTGGTAGTGGATTTCATTCAGCCACAGTCAAGTAACCACTAGTGCATTTTATTTCTGTTCACATCTGTGGAAGTGCAAATGGTTGGGGGGAGCCCTGAATAGGTTTTTATGGGGATTCTTCACAATAAACATAACTTGTAACTTGCAGTTTACAAATCCATTCATTCTGACAAGCCATGAAATTCACAGGAAAGAAGAAGATGGCTAGTGGGAAGAGCCCATGTTACTGATACAGAAGGTGTAGTGGAACATCTCTGGTTATCTTGTCAACACAGATATTAGTGTCCAACAAAGACAGATACATTTCCCTCCTCCAACAACACCTTTCCAGCCATCCAGTCTCAGTTGATATCAATTATCAGTAGTCGTCACTCATGACCATCTTCTCATTATAACGAGGAAAAATGAAGTGCAAAGAAAGCCAGCCCCTTATCAGACCTTTGGTGATGAAGACTCACAAGGCTCTCTTTAGGTGATTCATTCATCAAATGACCCACGCATGCTACTTGTAGCAGCCAGTCTTATTTAATTAGAATTCCAGCTGTACCTTTTTAGGTATCTGTGTGTCTGTCTTATTTTGATTAAATGTTATGACTTAATGACAAAGAGGTGGATATGTAGAAATGGAATAAAAGGAAAAAAGAAAGATGCCTCTTAAGAGTTTGATTCCCTCCTTGTCCCCTCAAGAACTTGACTCTGCCATGGTTATCACCAAAATGTAGTTAGCACTGAGTTGATGTTTTAAATTTGGGAAATCATTAAAAACCCCAGGATGGGTGAGAAGCACTTGTCTGTGTTAGAGTCCTTGTCCCTTCAGCGCAGGATCTTGCACAGTGGTCTCTGCGTATTGCCTGTACCTCTCCAACACCTGAATTCAGCTCGGTCTTCCACCCTGTGTCCTGGCAGTGCTTCCTCCAAGGACCATGTTCTTGCCAGCCCCTGTGGAATGTTCTAGACCCTCGTCTACCTTCCTGCATCTTTTTAGACAAGGAAAGCCCCTCCCTTTGATCTCAGCCATCAACACCACCAAGGCTCTTTCCTCTTCTGTGCCCTCCATCTCTGACGACCCCCAGCTGCCCCCTTTCCTGCTTCTGCCCAAACCACTTCCCAGGCCCCTCCTCCCTCCTTGCCTTCATGTTCTCTTGATTCTCTCCTTCCATCTTCTGTCTTGAGGATCACTCAGTGCAGATCGTCTAAGTCCACACCACAGTTCTGACCTTGCTGACCGGCTCCTGACCGGCCCCATTAACTCCTGTTCCCTGTGCTCTTTCTCTCTCTTGTGCTTCCCAGTTCTGTACATGGCACCATCAGAGGTCCAGTCATCCAGGCTCAGAACCTCAGAGCCAGTGTTGATCATCCCCTCCCCTCGTTTCATTTTGTTTTTTACCAAATCCTTAGATTCTGCCTCCTCAGTATCTCCAAAATATATACTCATTTTCACTTTCTCTCCTGCTCGCCATGCCTAGATCAGTCTCCCCAGCTTAAGTATCTCTCCATTTTAATTCATGTATACAACATACAAACTAGGATAGGAATAACGTTCCTTCTACCCTGTCATGTTAAGTTGCTGGGGGCCTGCCAATTAAACTGACCAAAGACAGATTGGCAAGAGAAGCAGGCTTTTACTTACACGTGCAATGTGCCTACATGCGGGAGTGCTCAGTGATGAATAACTCAAAGGTGTGGTTAGAATTTGGGGTTTAAATACCTAACTCAGTAGTGGAAAGGAGAGGAGAGAACAGGCTGCTGTGGGCTGAGCCAATAGGCTTCCTCAGGAAAGATAAATGGGATTTCAGGAGAACAAACCGGAGCTAAAGTCCATGATAATATTTGCCCATACAGGTCTGAGGGTCTTTCGGTCTCCTTCAAGGCCATGAAACTCCCCCCCCCCCCCCCAGGCAGAGGGGCCTTATGCCAGGAGGGTTACTCTTGGTCTCACTCCTGGGAACAGACTCAGACTCATCCCAAAGAAGGAATGCATGGTGCTCCTCATGTCTCTGAAATTCCTGCTTTAATCAGATAAGGAAAGCTCCAAGAAGGCCTCTTTCTGTATCTGTTGAATCTCAAATGTCTTTAGCTTAAAATAATTATTTAGTATTTATACAACATAAAAATACTATCTTCACAAAACACAGCTTTCATCACTCACATTCAATACCATTGGCCAAAACCCACTCGAGGCCCTGGTCCTGCGCCAGCAACCCCTCTGCCTCACCTCTCACTACCCCTGTGTGCCAGGCTCTCCTAATTTCTCAGTACTGCCTGTAAACACCCGTTGTTTACTGCCTCTGGCCCCCTGAATCCTTTTCTGCCCAGAATGCTCCATTCCCCCATTCAGTCTCTCCACGTCTCTCAAGATCCAGTGCAACTGACAGTCTACTGGGAAGCACCCCGTCCCCACAGGTCCTCCCCCCCACAAGCTGGTGCCCTGAGCTCCCAGGGTGTTCAGCTTGTCTTTCCTCATGGCACTCGCCATCTCTTGACGAGCTATGGAAGTGTGTGCTCTGCCTCCTTTTCCAGGCTGCAAACCGGAAGGCAGGACCTCCATCCAGTTTGTCCCCCTCCCTCGGTTCTTTTGCATCTCAGTGCTCAGAGACAGTTTTAGGGCAAACGAGTAAATGAATGCACTGTTCAGGGTTTGATGAGTGGCCCCTCAAAAAACAGGTCCCTGGAACTTGTGTGACCTGATTTTGAAAAAGCGTCTTTGCAGATGTCGTTAAGCTAACGATCTTGAGATGAGACACCCTGATTATATGGATGGGCCCTAAATCCAGTGCTGAGTGTCCTTACAAGGGTCATACAGGGAGATGGGAAGGCCACATGTAGAGAGAGACAGACTGGAGGGACGCAGTCTGGAGGGGGAGAGAGTGCTGGGAGGCACCAGAGGCAGGAACAGTCCCCACTAGAGGCTTTGGAGGCAGCGTGGTCTGGTCCTGCCAACACCTTGATTTCAAACCTCTGGCCTCCAGAATTGAGAGAATAAATTTCTGTTGCTTTTAAGTCATCCAACTTGCGGTAACTTATTAAGCAGCCACAGGACATTAACACACACCATTAAACGAGACCAGCAGTGCCTTGGGAGAAGGCTACAGGGAGGTCTGCCTGTTCCTGCTACCCCAGTCACCACACATGCCAACAGGGCTCATTCCTGCCAGACCCTCATGTCCTGTGATGTAACTTCTGACCAGCACTCAAGTTTTTGTCCATGTGAATTCCCCATCGTGGTTCTTAATTCTGCTTTGCATTTCTTTCCTGTTACCTCATTTGTATCCTGCTTTTTTCCCTCAGTTGCCTCCTATATCCTTTTCTGCCTGCAAAGCTCATGGTTTTTCCATGCAAACAGGGAGAAAGACTGTCTCCAGCTTTTTATTTGTGAGTTGGCAGCCGTTGCTTCCTGCAGGTAGAGCATCCACATGGCGGTTTACAAACTTGTGTTGTTATTGTTAAAGAAAAAATATTCAGTGACACTTGTTATGCACAGTAAGGAAGACTTTAGTCAAGGGGATCATGATGGGCACGGGGACCACTCAGTGGGTTTCAGAGATCAGACACAACTCAATACAGCATGCCCAACTGGGCATTTGCAGACAAGGAACAGTGAGGGGATCAGAGGACAGAAAACTCCCAAGCAGAAACACTGGGAGCATGGAGGATTCTGCCAATAGCAACCTAATAGGATTCTTGCTGAAGGCAGCCGCGGCGATCAGATGTCACCTGGGAGATATCGAGAGTGGGGGATTCTGATTAAACTGACTTATCAGGATTACTGTTACAGCAAAGACAAACACAGAAACCCAAAGATCATGTCTAGTTGAAAAAGAATCCAGGGCAGCCTGAGTAGAGTTTGGTCACAGGGAGAGTCTTAGTATTTAGAGCAAAGGTCACGGTCAGCAATGTGAGCACTTTGTGATTACAACTAGTTCAGCTCTCCTCTGGGTGCCAGAACTGCTTTCTAAGAGGCTGTTGTCCTTCCTGCTGTCGACATGCTTACTGAGAAGAAACCTGGTTCCTGTGTGATCTCACAGGAGAAGAGCTGTGTATGTGAGGCCAGGTGGTACTGTGGAACAGTGGCACGTTTGGGAACCAGACAGACCTGGGTCTAAATCCCAGCTCAGCCATGATAAGCTGTGCTCCTTTGAGGACCTTGCTTACTTTCCTGGAAAAGATTTTTTTCTCACCCTCGGAGTGAAGCTCATTGTCCAAAGCATCTGGGGCTGTTATGAGAATAAAAGATGTTCCAGCCCAGTGCAGGGACTTGGTGGGTGCTTTCTAAGTGAGAGGTGCTGTGATGTTTCAAGCTGCTCATGAGCCTGCTGGGAGATACCTGCGGACCTGGGCATGGCCTGCAGGGGACAGTAAACAAACCAGTGGATGCCCTGAAGTACATGGAGCACCAGGATATTAAAGGAGACCAAGTCAGAGCCATTTCCAGGGCTGCAAGCATTTTGTTAAAGAACTTGAGTGCTGTTCCATAGGCAACAAAGCTTGATGAAACCCTCAAAGCCTCAGAACCAGAAGCATTAATGAAAAGAAATTAACTTAAAAAAAAGTTTTTTTGCGAATAATCATATCTGACTTGATTGTTTATAGTTCATGATGTGTGATCAAAACCGAAAGTTTCTGTGATATGACTGCCCTTGCACTGTTCACCATGTAAGAACTTATTCACTATGTAAGACCTTGTTCGTTATGCTTCAGAAGATTGGAGACTGTTGAGAATTAGGCTTGGGGTTGATTAATGATTGTGCATTGAGTCCCCTATACAGAATTTTATTGTTGTTAACAACCATTTGATCAATAAATATGAGAGATGCCCTCTCAAATAAATAAATAAATTAATTAATTAATTAATTTAAAAAAAGGTTTTTTGAAAAAAACTGCCACCTTGGATATAAGTTTTCTGGAGTGAGGATCCACTCGGGGTTTTCTACACATAGACCATATCATCCGAACAGAAGAATATCAGCAAGTTGGAGGACTAAGAGGTCTCAACCCACATACCAATGACTGAGGGAGGAAAATAGTTCTGGGAGAGCTCCAGAGAACAACTGGACAGCTACAACCCTGGGGGGAGGGGGGGGCAAAAACCAAGGATGGCCACACAGAAAAGCACAGCAAGTGTTTGGCCCATGTCACTCCTGCAGACTGGCTCAGCTCAGCAGCAAGGGGGATCCCCTCAGTTGGGAAGAACAGGGCAGTGCCCTGGGGGACTTCCCCGTGGCAGACCGAGATGCCCAGTCCACCACCACAGAGAGCCCTGATAAGGGGTTACTCTCTAAACTATATAAGGAATTTACACAACTCAATAGCAATAAAAACCCCATTAAAAAATGGGCAAGGACGTAGAGAGACATTTCTCAAAGAAGACATGCAGAAAGCCAACAGCACATGAAAAGGCACTCAGCATCACTGTTCACTGGGGAAACAGATCAAAACCACAATGAGATTTCACCTCACCACTGGTAGAACTATTATCAAAAAGGCAAGAAATAACAAGTGCTGGAGAGGATGTGGAGAATAGGGAGCCCTCCTACATTGCTAGTAAGATTGCAAATAGGTGCAGCCACTGTGGAAAGCAGTATTGAGATTTCTTGAAAAGTTAAAAAGAGAAATACCAGCAATTCAAAGTATTTATCTAAAGAAAAT